GGTGAACGCATGCCTCGTGTCTTTTTCCAACATTTTTTATTTCACGAAAGCATCTTTCAATATACGTGATTCGAGACACGCGATATATCGTCATTATATATGAATTGGAAGTTACAGTAATTATTACTTGTCATCGCATCAGACGAGAGCTGTTAAGAATGTTTAAATCATTTTATGTGAAATAAAAGTTTAGATTGAAATCTGTTTCACCGTTCCTCCGATAAGTTACACACCTCTAGTAGCTTGTACACACTAGATCGATCCGGCGGTCTGTTTTTACCCTCGACGCGCGATCTCTCTTTTTCTCCTTTTTATTCATACGCACGAACAAAATACTCGTTGCTCCCACGACCTCGAACGACGCGCTGGCTGCGTGCGTACGTGCGGCAGGCGGCACCGAGGGTGTTCTGGGACTCCGTTGCTAATGATAATCAGGTCTCTCTCTCTCTCTCTCTTTCTCTCTCTTCAACCCCCCTTCGGCCGACTGCCTGCGTACCCCACGTACCGAGCACGGGCCATGTGCAATAAGGGTGCGGCACCGTCGGATTCCCCGGGGAACGGCGTGGCGTAACGTAAAATCATTATTAGGTAGGTAGGTAGGTGGTTGCTGGTGCACACGAGGGGTGGAAAGAGAAACGGGTGGCTCGAGCGAGCGGGGGGAGGGTTCGAAGCGCCGCCGTTCACCGGGGGATGGGAATAAGAGCTCTGCAAATATTGTTCGTGCGCGAGCCGGCAAGCCGGAATAGGCTACGAGGGGTCGGAGCGTTACTTCGCGTTACCTTCGCAGTTAGGCGAATGTTTTCGGGGGTGTGGGGCGCGACGAGGAGGGGGGGCCGCGGCGAGTCAAGTGCACGGTCGTTGCAAAGGGGTTGACGAGCGAAGTGACAGACCGGCAAGTGGTCACGAGCCTCTCCGATGAGAAAACACCAGCAGAATGTCTTTGGGTGGGGCGGCAGAATATTTTCGGAGCTTCGCGGGATGGCTTGGCGGGTGGGTAAGTTTTCATAGCCCCGGCTTCGTGCGACGCTGCCCGCTCTAATAAATACATTGCATTACATAATCGCGATAGTTGATCAAATTATTGCGTCAAAATTAATCGTCGCTGCCACAGATTTCCTGCAAAAACGCAAGTTTTTTTTTTTCAATAATACTTTCAATTCATTATCTGTAAGAAATAATAATTGCATGGGAAACTCGATACGAACTAACCAACGCCGACCGCGTTTCAAAAATGTATCATTCTCAGCACTTCAAATGCGAACCACACGATTTCTGACTTGTCGCGGCGACAACAAGTGATTACAGAGGAGCAGAGCATTATCGATCAAAATCATCGTCCCTCTGTCATCGGGATGATCAATTCGCAGTGTATAC